CGACGGACATCGATTACCATCCATTGACGGCAACCGAATGTGCAGGAAGGCAGCTTCCACACCTGCGTAGGATATCGCACCCATTCACAACACACATGGGCCGGGACCAACGGCTTTACTTCCCTTCCAAAGGAAGACGTGACCAGAGATTTTTATGCCTCAGAAAAATCCTACCAACCTCGGCTGGGAATGAACCCAGACCCATTGAGGTGTTAGAAAGTAGTCATGCTTACCACTACACCACCGGCGCCGGCTGCATGTTCGATCACTACATTTATTTTCTTAACGAATCATGCTTCAAGATGAAAAAAAAGATCATAAGGGATTATTCGTAGACACATAACCATAAAAACCCGAGGAACATGCATCATGCGACCGAGGTCATCCCTCTGACAAATGGGAACGATGAAAATAAATCTCGATTACTCCCCCGAAGGGATACATCCGCTCACGTACACAATGCATCCGATCCCCAAATCATGCGCAACCGGCATCCACCCACGCATGCCAACCCCACCATCAGATAGGGGATATTTTCCCCTACCTGATAGTGGCGCCAGCACGCGCGGGCGAGCCATCAGCCACACCAAACCGACCATCAAACGCACTGCCCACAAAAGCAGACACGTCCCCTCGAAAATGCAATCGAGAAATGTTTGAGAAACAATCTTCAACTGGAACGTACTCACCAAATCAATATATCAGGGAGCGCATTCCCGATGCTTATTTTTCTCTAGTCATTTTTAAAAAAATTCCTCCTCCAGCGGTTCCAACCACACAATAACGAAATATCACTTTTCTTTTCCAAGTCACTCTTTGCACAAAAGCAATGCACATCGCAAAATTAATCACAGCTTCACCTTTGCATTTCTTGGATCCAGAAATTGATAAAATAAAACCCAGCAATGCTAAAAAAATTCACGCTACTCGAAATTTACCGATTCTATGGTGTTTAATTATTGTATAAATATTACCTGTGCATATCTGTTGACACCGAACTCATCCATGATTCTTTGTACAGACCAAGATATGGGGAATACGGATTACATTTGTATCTTTTCTTCTCGAGTGCATTCCGGATCCACGTATTTTCGTTCAGTTGGATCATCACTTCATCGTAATCCTTAGCCTTCCCTAATAAAAAGTAACCATAAACGAACGATAACCCAAATCATTGAACTATTCCACAAATGGTTTGGATGATACCCAGAACACGTCGTTAAGCAAATTAACCATACAATTTTTATTAGGGTTGGCGTTGAGGATTCCTTGGTCATCATCTTCCCAAAGGTCGAATATGTGTCGCTTAACCCCATCCATGATTTCTTTGAATTTTTGTTGAGGATAACACGCACTTCTCAGTCTCTTTGTCGTAATCGGTGATACATGGATACCCATGATGCCTTGGTTGAATATCTCAATATTATGGGACAAATTGACAACAGAATCTGCTGACGTAGTCGATGGGATGATATTCACAATGGATTCACTATCGATATCTATGGGTGCTATTGTGCGTACACCAATGGTAGAAGGTGGTTTCACATCTTGCGGCATTCCGTCATTCGAAGGCGTTTTGTTTGATGGCAAACGGTAAACTTGAAGACGACATCTACTACAAATTTTCGAAGAATTATCCCGAGGTATTTTACAACCAAAACATTTTAATTTTTCTATAACTTCATTTGAAATGTTTCTTGTTTCTGAACAACACTTCTTTGATTTAGGTAGAGATTTACACCACTTGAAATTGGTATCCTTGGCCAAAAAATAACCTGCTTTTTAACTTAAAACGCTAAAAGAGATGAACTGAATGGAACAGGTGAAGGACTTCCCAATATAAATGTAGCAGAATAATTAAAATGTTGACATTATACCTATCTTTATTAGGTACAATTGATTATATAGCAAACTTTTTTAAGTGTGAGTGTAAGAAGCGGGGTGCCTTTTTAAGTAGTTGTATCATATATACAGGTTTAATGTAATATTAGTTTACCAGTTTTGTATTTTTTGCCTTTGTTATGACATACACAATTCTAGCTAGGTATACTACTAAAGGTGATACGGTCAAAATTTGGTCAAGGGAAAACGCGTGTAAATCGGTGAAATCGTTTATTTAAAAAATCAAATTAAATTTCTTTTTCAAGTTCAATTAGTATAAAATTCAGGAAAAATATTCAGTTAGGCTTCCGCTTTTCCAAATCCGAATTGCCGGGCCTTACGCTTGACCCCTGCCATCAGATTTTGTACAGCCACCTTGTCCACCTTCTTCGCCGCAGAAAGCCAGTTTGCCTTGAACTGCTGCTCGCCCTTAGCAGTTTTTTTGGTCTTCTTTAGGTTCCGCTTGACAATAGCCCAGTATTTCTCAATTGGGCGGAGCTCTGGCGTGTTGGGAGGGTTCTTGTCCTTGGGAACCACCTGCACGTTGTTGGCGGCGTACCACTCCATGGCCTTTTTACCGTAATGGCAAGATGCCAAATCCGGCCAAAACAGTACGGAACAACCGTGTTTCTTCAGGAAAGGCAGCAGACGTTTATTCAAACACTCTTTCACGTAAATTTCTTGGTTGACAGTCCCGGAAGCTATGAAAATGCTGCTTTTCAAGCCACAGGTACAGATGGCTTGCCAAACCAGATATTTCTTTGCGAACTTTGACAGTTTCATGTGCTTGAAAACATCTGCTACCTTTCCCCTTCCTTTTGCCGTATAAAACTCCTGTCCCGGAAGCTGCTTGTAGTCGGCTTTGACGTAGGTTTCGTCGTCCATTACCACGCAGTCAAACTTCGTCAGCATCGTCGTGTACAGCCTCCGGGATCGCGCTTTGGCCGTCGTATTTTGTTTATCATCGCGATTTGGAGTCACTACCTTCTTGTAAGTCGATAGTCCGGCTCGTTTTTTGGCTCGATGCACGGTTGTAGACGATACACCCAGCTTATTTGCGGCATCTCGGAGAGAGAGGTTAGGGTTTCGCTTGAAACTACCGGCAACTCTCTTTGTCGTCTCAGCGGCTTCCGGTTTTCGATTTCCCCCCGATCCAGACTTCCTGGCTGTCGACAAACGTTCCCCAAACACTTTAATTACATTTGTAACGGTTGATTTGGCAACTTTTAGCGATTTTGCCAACTTTGCGTGCGAGTAGCTCGGATTTTCGCGATGCGCGAGCAAAATTTTGATACGCTGCTCTTCTTGCTTGGACGGCATTTTGACAACTGAAGAGTGAATTCCAAAATCAAAATAGGAGCAACATTCTACACACACACACACCTTCAAAATGAGGGGTGTTCAGGTTTTTTAAATGCAAAATTGAAAGAAATACGTCAAGTTGATATTGACCAAATTTTGACCGTATCACCCTTTAATAGAAGACTGAAAAATACACGTAGGGGGTTTGCTGATTATTTGGGTATATTGGAGAGTATTTACTTATAAACTCGTTTCGCTTCCGCTGCGGGTAACGTCTGACAGCTACCATATCTGAGAATGAATTTTTTGTTTTGTAATATACAATCATGGAAAAAACATCTCGCTGCTGCACATTACGACTAACATTTGTAAATTGTGTACAATATTGAAAATTATTAT